TCTCGTTTTGAGGCACTTGGGTCCGCGACCGCCGCGGCTGCCGTATGAAAGTGTCGGAACAAACAAGGTGAGGTCGAGCTACGTAAACTAACTTATAGTTTGTGGTGCAAACACCCAGATGCTCCCAGATTGTCGACACCTGTGCTAGAGAATGCACATGCCTTTTCTACCAGGCGATGTGGCTCCCCTGCGTACACCTGTCCTCTGTATTTCGAGATCAGTCCATTCGAAGCAGTAAGAACTATTCATCATTGACTTTTTCTTAGCTTGCTTTCCAATCCAGCAACGCTGGCTGTCAGATTACAACCTACCGGGCATAGGTGTACCCCTTACACTTGTTCCCAAACCACCGCTGAAGGCTTTCGACGGCCTTCGTAAACAAATGAATCGGGTGATGGATGAGCTTCACAGGCTTCACCAATCACATCACTCAAGCGTGAACACGTTCGCCTGTTTAGACGTGAGAACTCAGATGCGTCCAACGTGCACTGGTGGAGTATTGGTGGCACGTTCGCCTCGCTCGGCCATTGGATATGCTGCGAGCTCCAATAAGATCGAAACTCGAATAGACTCACCAGAATAATTTCGCCAGGACACGAGGACGTCTTTTCAAACGAGAGTGATGTGAACGTGAGCAATACCAATCTAGCTCTCACGAGAGACCCACCCAAATTCCAACTGAATCTCTCGTTTATAGTATTCCTCAACAACCTTGGGATTCAGATGGATCTCCAACGAAAAGCCAATTAGTGCGCATATGAGTATTGTACCGAATTTCGTGCAGTTTGCGTTCAAGCAGAACATAAGGTTGACGGAAACCTGGGAAAAGCTGTCGTGAGCCATCGAAGGGTTTTTAACAAACCTACGCGCAGTTTATCCCATGAAAAACAGAAGAGCCTGAAACACGAAGACTCGCGGCAATGAATTGAGGGAACAGACCTGAAATGCAAAAGGTCCCTGCTGTAAAACAACTCAAATGCCACCCGGTATACTTTGCTGCTTTCTGTGAAACTCATCTGGCTGATCAGTGGAAACACCTATGGGTGACTCTAGCTACACTTTGTAGTATAGTACAGCGACATAGGGGAATTGACGTAAACACTATGTTGCATTCTGTAGTGCAACTAACACGAATCACAGAACAGTGGAACAGCCAAACCGCATGAAGTCGAGGATGATAGCCCTCCGATTCCGACTATCGAGAATGCGAGATAGCTCAGTAGTTAAAACGAAAATTTACTGACAGGAAGATCCGTTGTTTGAACCCGACTTCTGTCTAGGCTTGGGCAGTCTTCTGGCATCATCCCAGCCCTCGTGCTTCCTTCGAGTGGCATGTTAGCTAGGCGACGAAAGGGTGTTACAGCAAAACGGTTTTTTCACCGAAAACAATACTTACCAGATTTATTGGATCCTCCTCCCCCCAGAATGTAAACCCAGACGAGGAGAAGATTTTCTGTGATCAGATCTCGGACCTGACTACATCTGAACTGTTAAGTGTCTCCATTTCTCTCTTGGATGCCTTCATTAATTGAGTTGGCAGGGACTGGAAAACCGGGAACAAGATAGTCTATCTACTTGAAAGTGAGCGAAGCTTGCTCGTTAAGCCTATCGGCCGGGAGCTCATGGTTCACCATGGGTGAATACTGCTATTCAGGCTATCAACTTCATCTCCCACGAAAAATGGCGATGACCCAATTGGCTGATCTACCTGTAGCAGCATCGCTGCAGGCAACAACAAACCAGGTGAATAGTCAAGGAGGAGCTCATATGATTCTCAGTAGCTTTAATGAGCGTAGCGTCCCTTGCGAGCATCGTAAACTGTTCGAAGCGATCAAGACAAATCCAAGAGGAACAGAACCAACCGCACCTGTGAAGCGTTTGTTAACTTCATCAAGACCTTCGGCTCAGTAAACAGAGATACACAGTGTATCGTCTAGCTGAAGCCTGGCGTAACGGTGAGTACTGCTGATTGGAGCATGCGAGTAGTATGTCTTCTCGTAAATCCGCTTCGCGTCTCTTGAAAAGTGAGATCTATTACGGAATTTGTGGAGTCGCTTTGTAGCATTTGTTTGCATTTGAGTAACAGTCAATAAATATCCAGGAAAAATCAGAAAGCCGTGTTCAAGGAGAAGATTAATGTTCAGTTTTGTAAACAAGATGCATATGAGAGTTCTGCTCCCCTGTCCAATAGTCTGTAACTGTTCAGTTACTGTTTCTCTAATACACAACTCCGCAGCGAAGGCCTTCTTCCTTTCACTGGTAATTCCTACGAATTTGTCCACTTCATGGTATTGGGATTACAAGTGCGGAGCTGCGCAACTAGCTTGACCGAGTTGGAGTTCTACACTAGAGTGAGGCGGGGTTTTGATCTTGTCCTGGTTCTGTTCAGCCTCTGTTTACTGATTATCGGCAGATAGGCGTCCCACCATTACGAAGGATGCATACCACGTCAATGACAGTCTGGTGGCATCTTGTTCAGTCTGAAGAGTTTCCCGGCTTGCTAGTCCAATGACATTGTGCTAGATTTTCTGGATTCATTCTGGAGCAGAATTACAGCGGCTGAACACAACCTTTAGCTTAAGTATAAGTGCTCCCCGAAACACTTGTTATTTGTAAGTTTACGTCGGAAACTCAAGACCAAACACCATGCATTCAGCTAAATGGTCGTGGAATTCCTGTACCGATTTCGGCTATCTTGGTAGCACATTGTTCACGGACCTGAGGCTTGATAGTGAAATGGACTAAAGAAACACAAATACTAGCTCATCACCGGGTCGTCTTGGGAAAAAACCCCGGGGGAATCGTCACTTGCCCATGAATCTTAAGGTTGTGGTGTATCGGGCTGTTGTGTTATCCTTACTTATATTGTGGCAAAATTGAACCCGTATACAAGCGACAAGTTCGGAGTCTTGATGAATTTCGCTTACATTGTCAGCGCAGAATCCTTTGGATAACATGGAAAAACCGAATTCCCAACAAGAATTGCATCGATAGAGAATTCCTGATGGCGAAACACTAGCAGAGTCTAATCCGGTCGGATGGGAGCCGACTACTATACTGAGAGAGGTTTATGGAAATTCGAAAAAAATATTACCTTCCTTTCAGCTCACGGTAGAACCTGCCATTCGACAGGACGTCCCGAAAGAGGGCCACCCAAGCAGGTGTGAAATGCAGTGCTGTAAAATGAACGTCATTCCGAAGGGCCTCAGTGACTTCAATGGAGCCTCGACCGCTTGGGCTTGTGCGACTCGCGGATGTATGTGCCTTGTTAGGATCAGTCATATTGATCACCAGTTCACTCAGTGACCCGTTTGCTAATTGTTATCAACTGAAACTGAAATAAGTTTTTTTTATCCACTCATCTGTACACCAATTCGGTTCTCTCGGGAGTCTCACCTAGGACCCATCCGAATCCTTCGTTTATGGTGTTATTCTCAAATGAATGTGCTGCACCGGGTCGCCTAATGTTTCATTTAGTAAGATATGCAAGATACAATACAATGCAATACATTGTCTATACATAATACACTACTCATAACGTTGCTGAAAACTCGCCGACAGTTTAGAAAAAACGAGAGACACAGTTGGGTTTCAGGTGAGTCCCCCGTCAAAACCAAACTGTCATGCAGATGAGTGCATTATTCGGATTTCGTCCAATTAGGGTTCAAGTAGAGCATAAGATTCAAGGAAACTCGAAGATTTTGTCTACCTGATAAACCGTACCCAAGAAGGACGAAACTGGTCGTGGGCCGTCGACGGGTCTGTTCCGCTTTCTAGTCGACATCTGCTCGACACTGGCATCCCGTAGGGTGACAACACTCACCTTATGGTTAATGAACTATCACCAGTTTATCCATTACCACGTTGGGGTTTCGTTAATTAGCGGTCTTCGGGAAAATTTGCATGGTGCAGTTCTAGAAGAGATTGGCCACTGAGTTGAACCTCACGATATTTTGTGGGTGATGCTATATCTTATACAAATAACTGCCGCTGATGACGATTGGTATGCCACGAAAATCAGACCAGCTGTCTTGCAATAGATCCGTTTGTATTCGCCCAGTGATCCGATTCCCGCCGGTCTTAATTGGTGTCTGGATGCAACACCATATCTGGCTCAGGGCAAGCTATCAGTGACTTCCAATTGTGTGTCGTGGATACAGTTCTATGGAGGCCCTTCATGGGGATCCGGTTTCAGTTTATTCTAAAAAATCAAAGGTGAAGAATACACTAGTTTACGCCAAAGAGGGGTCCTTTTGAGGCTCAGAAGAGGGACCTTACAAAAACACAATTATTCTGCGATCATTCTGACATCCGGATTACTGTGGAGCGGAAACAACACTATGGACACTATGACCAATGAATGAAATCACGAAACTGAAACGATTCTGGTGACCGAGAGCAACGGTAATCTTGTGTGCAGTTGAACCAGTTCGAATGACGTATTTTTAGAAATCCTCATTGCAAGCCTTTTTTCGCTGTCAGTTACTTTCAGGTACATCCAATTCTCGTTCCCCTAGTTTTAATCTTTGAAGCGCTTGTTAGCAGACTACTCGCAACAGACTACTCTTTACTGTGCATACCTAAGCCGATAGTGGTTCACCGGTGAAATTTCGACGTCACATCTTGTTATTTTAGGCAGGAAGGGCAAAAATCTAGAACTAACGACAATTACTTGAAAGGGCGAATAATCCTTATTGTTTTGGGGGACATGACTTGGATGGCATGAAGTGACTCACAGTATCAAACTCGATAAATCCCAGTGGTTAAGGCACGAACTTACTAAGCGGAAGGTCAGTGGTTCGAATCCGAACATATTACATCGGCTTCCCCTGTCTAGACTTGGGCAAACTGGCAGCATCTCAGTCTTCGTGACTCCTCCGGGTAGCGTGGCAGCTAGACACCGGAAGGGTTTTACAGCCTGACGATTATAAGTCACTATTACTATTAGTGGTATTCTCTCAGCTTTAAAACCCTCTCGGTGCCTAGCTGCTTCCCCCCAGCAGGGAGCTCAAGGGTTGAGATACTGTCAGGTTGCCCAAGACAAGACAGGAGCAGTCGAGATGCCGGAGTTGAAACATAGAGGTTCGTTCCAGTGGTTTTACGCCTTAATCAGTGAGCTTCGTCGAGCTCGTGGGATAACACACTACATTCGGACTCTAGTTTTTCTTTCGTTAATCTAATCGGACATTATGCAACGTTTCCTTATTGCCATCGTCTTTTTGAACATGTATAAACTCGTTTACTGTAAAGACACTTACCAAGCAAAAGTTGACTGTTTTTTTCATTATGTAAAGCAAGGGAAACTGACTTTTCACCGGACTCTGGACGGTACGACAAGATGTTTGCTATTTGGGGAGCTATGGTGAGGTTTTCTTCTGTTCACTTCTGGAGATTCCAGAAGGCACTTCGGAGGGTTTATTTACTGAAACGTTCTAAGCGGTTATGATGCCAGTCAACTGTCATTTGTCCATCTTTGGCAGGTAATTATCACAACTGGTCACTTGGCCAAAACCCGAATACAGAAGGACCATTTCGTCCCTATATTCAGCGAACCACCCCTTTTGCACCAATCATATCGATGAACAACGAATGACAGCCAAGAAGTACCCTCGGCTCCAAAACGTTGTTCATCAAGTTGATTACCTGGCTTGTGAGCCACGGTCTATCTTCCGTTTCGCATCTGGATAAATCATGTTGTTCCACAGTACATTATCATCGGTCCTCCTATCTTTTCTACTTTCCGAGTGGGGATGTCTCCATGGCAATGCTGATTCATTTTTGTGTTGAGCCGATGAAATTTTCAGCTGCCAGGCAGTTTGGTGGACACCTTAGATGAGACTTGTTCCACAAGTATTCCCATCCTTCTCATGAGTTAAATGACTGGAAACAGTCAGTATTCGTTTGTTCCGCTTGCAATTCAAGATGCCAATCAGTTCGTGGTGGTGGAGTGATCAGTTTTTCTGATATTTTAGAATGTCGGACTACCGCAACTCATGCCCATGTCACATCCAGTGTCATCTTGAGTTTGTCCTACACATTGAACAAGTCAGTCTATCGACCAGTGAATGCGTTGGTGTGTTCGCCTAACAGTATGACTCACTGTGGTGAGCCTACGATCATAGAAGTTTGTCCAATCAGGTGCATGTCTGTGATTATCAAGGTCTTGTTGTGACGTAGACTAGCCACCTGGGAATGCCAGCGGACTGTGCAATCCACAAGCCTGTCTTTCACAGGAAGTGTAGAAGCAAATGAAACTAAATGGTATCTTAAGTTAGCGAATATACACTCATTTGCAAACTAATTTGGTTCTTTCGAGAGACTCACCTGGGACCCAGCTGAATCTCCCATTTAGGATGTTCCCAGGCAAATAAGTGTATATTCGCTAATTTCGTGCAATTTGGTTTCAAGTAGAACATAAGGTTGACAGAAACCCGGGGACTTCGCCTACATGTTGAGCCCCAAGAAGGGCGAAACCTGTCGTGGGCTATCGATGGAATTTTAGCAACCTTATGAGTAGTACATCACAAAGGTATCTGAAGTTATTTTACTGGAGAAATGACAATCAGAGTAATCAGTCAGTAGCAGGAGAAAATGCATTATCTGATTTGTTTGCGAAAACTGCCGGACGCATTAAAGCTTATCATTTGTGCTGATATTCCACACCCACTGTCATTTGATAGTTTTAGTGACGTCTTTTGAATATCAGCAAGCATATATCTGCTAGCCATGAGAATTGTCACAAAATACATAATGTGTCTTGTTAAAATAGCCTTAAGCACATGGAAGCATGATTGTTACATAGTCGGGGAACACGTGCGGAGGCAGTGTATGAAAAGAACAACACTTTTTGATGACGATAAATCAACAGAAACTGTTACTCGGCGCAGAAAATCAATTACCTTTGTCCACATACTTCCCATATTTTTTATGGAAGATTAACGCTTTTGGTGTACTCAACCAGTAGTCCTGCTTCCAAAGCCAGCAACTTTCAAGATAAAAGTACAAAAATTGCCTGTTTGACAATGGACAATGGTCCCAAAATAGAGCACGACCTGTTCGGTTTAGTAGAAAATTATTTAGAATCCACACACCGGCTTGTACTGAAAAAAGGAACAACGCGGTTTGTTTTCTCAGGTGGGGAGGGGGCAAGGACCGATCGCACACATCGATCGATAGCGTCATATTTTAGGTCTGACGAGAAAACTCCGCCCCATACAGTGACAGTCACTGGTCTGTGCCAGTCAATTTGCCCGTATCTGCTGCTGGCGGCAGGAGCATCTAAAACATTTGAGGACATCAATGGAGAATTACATGATGAGTGGATTTTGAAAACATATCGGAAACATTGTCTGTCACGGTGTCTATACTGAGCTACAAAACAATGCAAAGTTCCGCAAAATACAGGGGGGTGGGGCACCTCGAAAAAAGTCATATGAAGTACAGAAGCGTGACGGTACTTCTCGTTCACTCAAAGTGGGAAGTGCTAGAGTTCGAAGCGAAACCTTAAGTGAATGACTGACACACTTGCCACCGAAAGTGCGTGATGGCCCCAGATAGGATCCGTCACAATCGTGTTGATGCGTACCTCCCCTTGTAGTTTCGTTCATGAAAAGATTATCTGGGCGAAAATGAAGAACCTCAGACACAGTAGTGAGTGCAGCAAGGATGCCAGGGAAAAGTTGGCACGTTGTGTGAAGAGATTTTTGGGGTGTTGATGGATATCCCGTCCTGTAGATGAAGCTATTCTGAAAAGCCGGTAGGAACTGTATAGTTGTTTCATCCTCACAGTACGCAACTCACGAAAAGCCAAGAGCTCTGGAACTCGCGACTTCCGGGCTAATGGTTCGAACACTGAAACTTTCGGTATCAAAGGGGTCATAGATGAAATCTCCGATAAAAGGTTTTGATGTTGGTTGTTAGGTAAACAAACGACTGCTCAAACGAATGCTCTTCGAGAGCCCACGAATGGTTCCGCTATTTTTGGGGCTCATCAGTTAGGCGCAATCTCCGAGCTTCCTTCGACCTTATGTTCATGAAGTTGGTGAACTACAGTCATCTTTACATACTAGTTTGATTTCCACTGGAGACCCACGCATTGTCGGGCGAACCAACCACATCGTTCAAACGTCCAGCGTGCGCTTTTGCAGTGAAGGTTGCAGGCTCGCCCCTCATTCCACATGTCCAGGGCTCAAAGTTCGGCAGGGCCAAGGATGAGTTCAAATGAGAGCAAAACTCGAGACTGAATCCAGAGGACGA